AAAAAAAAAAAAGTTCCACAGGTCACCCTAAAGTATAGCCAAATGGATGACAGCAACAACTCAAAAGCAAAGCAGCACTGAGCCTTGGTCTGGTCCTGAAATGACCCCTCACCTTCCCATGGGCTGACTTCCTGTCAATCAAATCTCAGCCTCAATATGACTCCTCAGAGTGGCCCGCCCTGACCCCGACTCTAAAGGAGCCACACCTAGTATGTGCCACATAACACAGTGCTTATTCCTGACGTCTGTCTTATTATCTTGCTGTAGGTGTTCCAACAGAATGGAAGTTCCTTGAGACTAGGGATCTTGCTGCATTTCCAGTAGGAGGTCAGGAAGTACTTTATGAATGAACGAATGAAGTAATAAGCCAGAGGACAGGTAGGCATGGGGGTATCTCTCATGGATATGGAATTTAAAAAATAATATCCTGAAGCTATAATTCTGAGAAATTTCGGTTGCGTATGATTAAGCCAGACTGACCGAACGGCACGGAGAACATTTTTTAATTCTTAGCTAAAAACTAGACAAGCCAGATGTCTATTTCCAAGCAGAGCTCTACCTAAGGAGACTGAAGAACACACAGCATTTACTCTGGACTGGAGTCAACAAAGGTGGGATTAAAAGTCTTCATGCAGAGGGAAGGGGGGGATGAAAATATGGTCACCATTTCCATGAATAGCAAAAAAAGAAGAAATAGGTCAAAATACGGAGCAATTAAGATTTGAGCTTAGGCATGAGGAAAAACTCGCTGAGGGAAATCCTGCGACACTACAGCAGCCATTACAGATGAGAAGTAAAAGTGAAATTTCTGCGGGTCCCTAAGACTGGCAAAAAAAATGCTTCCATTTAGAAGGGTCGCGCACAAGTACACAGAGGAAGATGAATATCCAAGATGGCTAGAATTTTCTTCTGATTGTTATTATTGTACTACAATATCTATAGTACCTGAGCTTCCTACCTGAGCTTCTTTAGATCTGGTACCACAAAAATGAGCCAGAAGGAAAAAATACCAGTAAGAACAGTACCAAGTAAGTATTTTTGGAAAGCAGAAATATGTCCGTGCTTTTCCTTCTTCATAGAATATATGTTTAGGGGCATGTGGGTGGCTCAGTCAGTTAAGCATCCAACTTCAGCTCAGGTCATGATCTCGCAGTTAGTGGGTTTGAGCCCCACGTCGAGCTCTGTGCTGATGGCTCGGAGCCCGAGGCTTGGAGCCTGCCTCGCATTCTATGTCTCCCTCTCTTTCTGCCCCTCCCCTGCTTGTGCTCTGTCTCTCTCTCAAAAAATAAATAAACATTTAAAAAATTTTAAAAAAGAACATATGTTTGGACCTATCAACTAAATTAATAATGCAGGCATAAAGGAAATATTCGAATATTAAATTCACAAGTTACCTACACTATACACTTAATGAGATGAAATGCCAGCAGAGTGCCTTGACCAGACTACCTGGGCTGTCAGCATAAAACCAGCAAGGTAATGTGTATCACCCTTTTTTCAAAGCCAGTTCTGTTAGATCCGCAGCTTCTAACAATGGAAACATCCCTTCCCCATACTTTCCGTACTTAACATCAACACTCTGGAACCACTTTTGTTCGTTCCCATATATAGTTAATCACCAAGTTTTACGGAGTATTCCTTTGTACGAGAGGCCCGGCGGAGAGGAGAGAGGAGGAAATTTACGGGTTAACAAGATTTAAGAGATCTACCAACCAAACTGTACAGGCCTCGTCTGGGTTCAAAGTCAAACTGCAAAACAAACGGACACTGACTAGATACAGAAAGGTACTTAGAAATACCGTTAATACTTTTGAGGTGTGATGATGAGACTGCGTGTATTTTCAAAATGCTCTTGTCTTTTAGAAATACACACCATGAACAGATGAAATGATATTCTGGATTTGTTCCAAAATAATTCAAAAGATGATGGAGGAGGGAATGGGGAAGAAAGAACAGATGAAACAAGAGGCACTGATGGGCTGAAGCTGGATAATAGGTACACGGGGTTCAAGTACACTTTTCAATTTGGTTTGTTTTAAAAATTCCCCTACCTTAAAAAAGTCATAACTTATATATTCGAATATGTTTTTTGATGTATCAATGCGGTGCACTTGGCCGGGAAAAGGGTTCCCAGCTGCCTAAATACCTCAGAGAAGCTTTCAAGTCATTCAGAGTCCTCTGGTTACCCATTTTTTATAGGACTAGGCCCTGGGCAAATCCTTACTTCTCTGCTCCTTCTCTTTGCTATGTGCTTCCCCATCAGCCCTACTCTACACCAGGCCACTTACCAAACCACTGGCCTGACCTGTTTTCATGTAAAATGCTTCCCATCTTCACCTAGATTACAAATTGTCAGAGGAAGATTCATGTTTACATCTTTTTGCCTCTTCAGAGCTTACAGCAGTGTTCTAAGTAGAGCAAAGGTGTTCGGTTACTGCTTTTCAGGTGGGCAGGATATAGGGAGTCTGCTCCCTCACACTTCTCTGTACTTCCCAGAGTTTTTACACACAGTAGGCCACTAATCCTTAGGAAACATCAAAGAGTTTCATTAAAGAGAATATAAAAGGCAAAACTGTTTTAAAAGGGAAATTCTGAAATACAGTTAAATCTCACAATAGTACGATGAATTACAAAGTCAGAGCGGTAAATGCCGTGGTTCTCACTACAGAAAGCTTAATTTCTGAGGCAGCAAAGCGTTATCCTTAATTAACCCATGTTCAAAGCCCAAATCCTGTGCCCTGAGACAAAAATTATATTAAAGATTCATCTTTCTATAATGAAAACCTTATAAACATTTGCATTACTATTATTATTTTTATTATTGAAAATACCTCACTGCTTACATTGAGCTCCAATTTTTCTGGACTGTGATTGGGTCCAAAGGAAACAAAGCTAAAACAGAAGGGAGGGACAAAATAAACGGGGCGGGGGGGTGGGGGGGGGAGGGTCAGGATCCACCCGGAAATGGTGGATTCCTACTAGTGGGTATACCCCAAGTAAGCAGGGCCCTGCTGAATGTTCCAGAATACCTGGGATTTTTAAATATTTGGTTAATTTCTACAGATTAACCTGTATTAAGCAAATATTAAGCACCTATGTGTCCAGCAGTGTTCTAAGCCATGGACAAGCCAGATTTCATGCAAAGTTCATGGAATAATTCATGACATACATTCGAAATACGCAACCAAGTTAACCTCAAATGATGAGAACCCAGAAAAGCACTAATTTTCATGAAATGTATGTACAAGCAGACACGTGAAAATCAGCTTTACCTTATATTTCATCTTGGGACATGAATGAATGTAGAAACCCATATAATAATAGCTGAGTTGAGATGTTTTCTGATGAAGTTGCCTCGTAAAAGCAATTTCTCTGCCAAAAGAAGAATAAAGACGAAGGCACAGTGAAATCTAGCTCCGATATTCAAAGTACTGTGTAATCTGATGTCCAATATCTGATGAAATCTGGAATTGTGACATTAGGCTATGAAGAAACTCCAAGTGTTGAAAGAAAAACAATTTCAAAAGTACTGTAAGATAACTTTTACTAAAGAAAGATACAACAACACTACATTAGTTTGAGCAAATGCATCTAAGTTCATGCTTTACACTTTACTGAGCTAATTAGTTGATCAAAAATTCAAAGAGCATAAAAGCAGAGATCTATTTAGTACATTACTCATCATCCCCTGGAGTTCTCAAAAGATTAGGTTTATCAAGTTAAAAACAAATTTTATAAAACTCAAAAGCCAACACATTTCAGGAAAAAGGACTCTGATTATGACCATTTACATGCACATCCTTGCAAGTGTGTCTGCTGTAGAACTCTCTCCTACATCGAGACGCTACTCTAATATTTATTTTCCCTAAAACTAAAGAGTGGAAAAAAACTATGCTATCTCACCACTTTTCCTGTTTGTTGGGCATAGGCAAGGATTAACCGAACAAAGAAGCTGTCAGCAATGTCCATGCTTGGAGTGGTTTTCATTTGTATCGGGATAAATCTGGGCACAGAACTTCATCCTACCCGCCCAAGTGAATGACTAGCTGTATTTAAGAGTTTTAAGCAAAGCTTCAGTACATTTCTAAAGTAAGAGAAAAGTTGTTTGTTTCGTTTTTACGTTTGTTTCTTGAAGATTTTCTTCTTTTCTTTCTTTCTCTTTTTCTCTTTTGTAGCAACAAATGCTTGAAATTCAAGTGAATAGCCTGTGCATTTTGCAAGTTCAAATTTAAATCACTGACAAGGTGTGACCCTACAAATTCATCTGTAAAATAAAAGTATCTCTAAATCCAAGCAGACTGAACGTTAGTGGTCTGTAACAGAATAAATCCTACCCACCCTGGAACGAATCCACTTGGAAGGTTCAAAGTGAGGAAGGACACCCGGCCACAACGGCACTCCGCTTGGTCCTGCGCTGCTGCTCCCTCCCTCAGCTGTCCGGGCCCAAACCTAGGAGCCATCCTCAATCATTCTTCTCCTCTCACTCCCATGTCCGACCCATGTCGACAAATCCAGGCGGCTCAACCTCCAAAATTTACGGGGGGTCTGACCACTTGTCATTACCTCCACCGCAGCCACTATGGTCCAAGCCCGCATCCTGGCTCCCCTGGCTGACTAATGCAACTGACTGGCTTCCCAGTGTGCTCTCTTGCCCCTCTGTAAATCCCGCAGAGTGGTAACCAGTCGTTGTTTTACAATATTAATCAGATCAGGTAACCTCCCTATATCTTACCTTCAGATTTTTGCACAGCTGGCTCCTTTCCTTTTTTTCTGGGCTCCTCCAATGTCACCTGACCAAGAGGTCTTTCCTGACCACCCTATTCAAAAAGGACCTCACCCTGGCACTGTGACTACTTCTGTCACAGCATAACGGAGTATCTAAATTTATGTTATTGGTATCCCCATTACGATCTGCTTTGACAAAGCTGGAAACCCTGTCTTATTCACTTCTATGAATCATGCCCAGGACACATAGATTCTTCTCAAATAAATATGTTAAACAAATTAACTCATTTCTAAAATCCACCTTGCTAACAAAACATAAATTAATGCCATGTTCATGATCCCCAATTCAAACATTTTTTTAAATCTACAGACTATGTTATATAAAAATCTATACTGATTATACATTAAAATACAAAAACTAAATTCATTGTAAATTGCTTAAGAAATTGAAGGAATGGAGGGGAAACTAAATGAGTTTCACTGAAATACACTATAATCAATAATAGAATTGGCAATTTACAACCTACTCTCCCCAGTTTTGCTTGGAAATGTCAATCTCCTGGCTGCCTTTCCTCTTCCATAAACTCAGCCACTCAGAACCCCCAGGCCACTACAAACAAGTGGCGAGGCTGTAATCCAGTGGCAGCCTCCCCGCTCTCAACTGCAACAATGTTCGTGCTCTCAGTCTCCTTTGCTTCCTCCTCAAAGCTCTCCGGCTCTAGCCGGAGATCTACCAAATCTACCAAATCTCTATCTCTTAGAGATCTACCAAACAGTAAATAGAACTCTTTATAATTTTGCTAGGAATTGATTATTTACTATCTCAAATGCAGCAGGATTTCTATATCTCCTGGTTTATTGAGGCATGAAATGATATTTCATACATAGGCTGGGATTCACTATGTGGGAATAAATATTCATAATGTTTATCTGAGAAGTCTAAACAAATCCATAAGCTATATACTGTAAAGTGGAAAAGTAGGTACAAAAATAAAAGAAGAAGGAAAATAGCAATGATCACAAAGTGTTGGCTGATTCTGGTACAAAAAAAAAGTAGCTTTTCTGAAATAAATACACTCTTCTAAAGTTACAAAATGTAAATGCTTCAAATGATCAATTTCAATTTCATTGATGCCATCAGGAGTCACGAATATTCTTAATTAGCTTATACAAAAATGCAATTAAATACAAAGGAAAAATAAAGGAATATTACAGGGATCAGTTATAAACACTGTATAATTGTGAATCGCTATAACTTATCATTAAGAGATGGCTCAGGTTGAAAATACCAAGATGGAGAATTTTTCTTTGGCCCACTAAAACACACAAAATCTATTATGGACCAGATTTTTCACAAAAATCAAACAGTAATTAAAGAAAAATACCCACTTTTCCAATTTTATAATTCAGAAAAAAGTACATACAGAATTAATAAAAGAAATAATCTCAAAATGTATCTTCCTATGATGTGAGATTGTGACCATCAGACACAGAGACTGGGAAAAGTGAAAATACTGACACAATGAGAAACAGAGACTCAAGTTCCCACATAAGCAACAGAAAAATAATTTTCAATCTTCCTTCCCTTCTGTACCACACATATTCACAGATACGAAGGAATAAAAATAGACCCAGTATTTTCATGGAAAAAGACCCCAATCCTTTTACCATTAGGATAATGCAAAATATCCAAGCGATGCTGCATATATTTGCATCCATGGACATGCAAGGGAAATAATCTTTTGATGAGGGCCAGAGAATTAAGTGGACAGTCAGGGACTTGCCACTCCTATTCTATATACTTTCTATAATTGTATATTCCTTCCAACAGATTTACATTGCTTGAATTCATTTACATGAGATTCATTTAACCTTTAATTATGAAAAAATATCTATACTAATGATGACAAAAACATGTAAATACTGTAATATTTAAGGGACATTGAGTGGTTTTTGATAGGGGAGCTTAAATAAAAACATAAACAAAAACACCCCACAAATACAATGACCTCTCCTACACTAGATTACATGGATAGCTTAAAAAGCTAGGGAATTACCATCGGGCACTACCCTCAGTTCTAAAAGTGGTTATTTCTAAATACTGATATATGAGAGACTACTATAGCAACAAAATTATTATGAACTATCAAACAGGATTTCTGCTGTTATATGATGAAATATAATCAAGTGAGGAATTATCTGAAGTTCCGTATGACCCATTACAGCTGTCAAAAGTAATCTTACCGTAGTGCAGAGTAGACACCCAAAGACAGAAATGAATAATCAGGATCGTAGTACAAATATACAGATGACACACAGTATGGAAGGATGTCAATCACCCCTACAGCAATGATTCTCCCGTCAAGCCAATACTGCTGGTGAAAGGAGCCATAACCACAATCTGGTCCATTAGGGGGATTCTCCGCCTGTGAAAAAGCAGACATACATGTGAACAGTTTCTTTTCTTTTCTTTTTAACATTTATTTATTTGGGGGCAAGCACAAGTGGGGGAGGGGACAGAGGATCCAAAGAGGGCTCTGTGCTGACAGGCTGACAGCAGTGAGCTCAGTGTAGGGCTGGAACTCACAAACCACGAATCATGACCTGGGCCAAACTCGGACACTCGACTGACTGAGCCATCTAGGTGCCCCCCCCGCTTTTTTTTTTTTTTTTTTAAAGATTTTTACTTTTAAGTAATCTCTACAACTCAATGTGGGGCTCAAACCCACAACCCCAGGATCAAGAGTCACAAGCTCCACTGACTGAGTCAGCCAGGTGCCCCTATCATCTTTTTCTTTATATTAAAAATCTTAATAATTGTCCTGTTATACTTCTACTTTGTAACTCCTAAAATTTCCTGCTGTCATCATCCTCTGCAATCACACCCTACAAAACGTTTTACTTGTAGAAACACTGACCAAACAAAAGAATGAGAAAAAGAAATAAACTTAAGGTTTTTTTTTTTAAACCTTGTTTAAAAATTTAACGGTAGGAAATACAAATTTTACAGGATAAGTAAATACTAAAGTCTATTTTTCAGTTCCACACAAAAGCTGAGACAGAAATGGTGCAGGAAAGAAAGACGGGGAACACAGAAGGAGAGGGGTGGGTGAGAACAGAACTGCCCCTATACCATCAGCCAAGCCTCATCTGTGACAACCCTCGCACTGACAAGGCATATGATCCCATTATCTTTTGTAGGTAAGAGTTCCTGTGTAAATAAAAACAGGGCTAGGACACTTCCCTTTATGAGCCAAAGGAAAATAATTTCCTTACCATTATCTTAATGTAACTATAATCCCACAAAAGAAACTTAGAGATTTCAGAGTATAACCTTTTACCTGTAAATAGTTGAGTGACACTTTTCATTTTAAGATTCAATGATTTTAAATATTTATTTATTTTGAGAGAGAGAGCGAGCAAGCGAGGGAGAGGCAGAGAGAGAGGGAGAGGCAGTCCCAAGCAGTTTCCATGCTATCAGCACAGAGCCCAGCGGGGGATGATCTCATAAACCGTCAGATCATGACCTGAGCCAAAATCAATAGTCAGACGCTTAATCGACTGAGCCACCCGGAAGCCCCAAAATTCAGTATGATTTTAAATGTAACTGTTGCTAAATGAAAATTATGATGCAACATGGAACAATGCTTTGGTAGAGACTAAATGGATGTTAGAGATTAACAATTTAAGTGAACAAATACAACATACACTATATATATACACACACGTATATCACATACATCATTTTCACACAGCTAAAATCACAGATAACATATATACACAAAAGCCGGAAGAGAGGGGTGCCCAGGTGGCCCAGTCGGTTAAGCATCTGACTTGAGCTCAGGTCAGGACCTCACTGTTTGAGAGTCTGAGCCCGCATCAGGCTCTCTGCTGTCAGCACGGAGCCCACTTTGGATCCTGTCCCCTTCTCTGCCATTCCCCTGCTCGCACACACACTCGCTCTCATCACTCTCAAAAATAAAAATAAACACTAAAAAAAAACCTAGAAGAGAATGAAGAAAAATGAAAAGTCAGTTTACTAATATTAAAACCAGAAAAAAGACATTACAAGACAGGAAATCTACAGATCAGAATCTCTCATAACACAGATGCAAAAATCCTCACCAAAATCTTAGCAAATTAAATCCAACAATGTATGAAACGAATTATACACCATGACAAAGTGGGATTTATTCCAGGTATGCAAAGCTGGTTCAACCTTAAAAAAGTAATTTAAAATAAAAAGCAGTTAATCATGGAAAGATGCTAAAGGAAAAAATCATATATCAATTGACGCAGAAAATACCTCTGACAAAATCCAGCATCCAGTTATGACTAAAACTCAACAAACTAGGAAGAGAAAGGAACTTCATCAGCTTAATAAAGAACATATACAACAAATCTACAGCTGACATCACACTTAATGATAAGAAAATTGATGCTTTCCCCAGTAAGATTCCCTTATTCAACATCATACTGAAAATGCTAGTTAGTGTAATAAAAAAAAAAAAAAAAAAAAAAAAAAAAAAAAAAAAAAAAGGAAATAAAAGGTATTAAGATTGGGAAGGAAAAGAATAAAACTGTCTTTATTCACAAACGACATGATTTACTATGTAGAAAATCCCAAAGAGTCAATAACAACAAAAAATGGAAATAATAAGCCATCATAGCAAGGTCACAGGACACAAAGCTAAAATCAAAAGCCATTTGCTTTACTACATACCAGCTATAACTGGAATATGAAATTAACAACCCAGTGCCATTTTATAAAACCAAAAAAAAATTACATGCCTAAATATAAATCTAACAAAGTATGTACAGGATATATATGCAGAAAACTGACAAAATGAAACAAAGAGATGGTAAATAAGTGTAAAAATATTATCTGTTAATAGACTGTAAGCCTCAATATTGTTAAGATGTCCATTTTCCCATGTTGGTTTATACATTTAATGCAATCCCAATCCAAATCTCAGCAAACTATTTTGTAGGTATAAACAAATTTGTTCTAATGTTCATATAAATAGGCAGAAGACCTAGAATAACTAACGTAATACTGAAGAAACAAGTCGAAGGTCTGACACTGCCTACGTCGAGACTTACTGTAAAGCTACAATGATCAAGATAGGGTCTATACTGGCCAAACAAGAGAAGAGTAGAACAATGTAACAGAACTAAAGCCCAGAAATAAGCCCACATAAACATGGCGGACTATCCTCTGACAAAGGAGCAAAGACAGTCCAAGAGAGAAAGGACAGTCTTTCTAACAAATGATGCCGGAACAATTAAACATCCAAATGCCAGAAAATCCAAATCTAGACAAAGACCTTACAGCTTTCAAAAATTCAGCTCAAAATGCACCACAGACCTAAATATAAAATGCAAAACTATAAAACTTCTAGATGATAACAATAGGAGAAAATCTGGGTGACCTTGGGTTTTGCGATGAGTTTTTAGATGCAATGCCAGAAGCACAAACCATGAAAGAAATAACTGATAAGCTGGACTTCATTACATTTCAAAAGTGCTCTCTCTACAAAGACACTGCTAGGAAAATAAAAAGTTAAACCACTGACTGGAGAAAATTGCAACACATGTATCGGATAAAGGACTGGTATTCAAAAATAGAAAGACTGTTAAAATTCAACAGTAAGAAAACAAACAGCCCAATTAAAAACTGGGCAAAGTATCTGAGCAAACACCTCACCAAAGAAGATGTACAGGTGGCAAATAAGCATATGAAAAGCTGCTCAACATCATCTGCTAGGAAACTGAAATTAAAACACACACACACACACACACACACACACACACACACACACACACACACACACACACACACCCCGACCTAATACTACTCAACTATTAGAATGGCTGAAATCCAAAAACCTGAATCAAATGCTGGCGAGGACGCACAACAGTAGGAACTCGGATTCATTGATGATGATGGAATGTAAAACGGTACAGATACTTCAGAGGACAGTTTGGGACTTTCCAGTAAAGATAAACATAGCGTTACCATATAAAATAGTAATCACGCTCTTAGGTATTTATCCAATTTGTCTGACAACTTGGGTCACACAAAACCCAAAGGCCTGCATGCAAATGTTCATAACAATGTTATTCATAATTGCCCCAAACTGTAAGCAACCAAGATATCCTTCAATAGGTGATAAATAAACCATGACACATGGAATATTATTCATCAAAAGAGATAAACTATCAAGCCACAAATACACAAAATGAAGAAACCTTACATGCATATTGCTAAGTGAAAGAAGCCAGTCTGAAAATGCTCCATACATACATTCCAAATACATCCAGTAAAAGGCAAAACTACAGAGGCAGTAAAAAAAATCATTGGTTGCCAAGAATTTGGGGGATTTGGAGCAGGGGACTTTTAGGATAAAACTATTCTCTATAGTTCTGTGCTAGTGGATACTTGACATTATGCACTTACCAAAACTCAGAACTTTATAAACACAAAGTGAGCCTTAATGGATGCAAACTAAAAGAAAATCTTTTGAGATTAAGGGATCCCAGGAAGGAATGGAGACAGGACAGAGAATCTACCTGTATTACAAATGTATGAAACAACCTGACTGAAAGAGGTCGGTCGGGAGGGGAAAGGTGCTGACTTCAGTAACCTTTGGGGTCTGTAAGAATGAAGGCAAAAGGAAACCCGCACATAAGCATTGTACTCTACCTGATAAAGTTGTTTTCCACGAGACTACAGGTTAACAACTCTGACACTGATACACGTGCCTACTGTAAAGTGACGGAGGTGATGGGAACCAAGTTTCTCACTGTTGAAGTCGTAATTTACAGATAAGCAAGGGGAAGAGGCTAGAATGACCCACAGGGTGATGGATTAGTATTGGAGACATGTGTAAGAACTCACGTTTAGCTTAATACAGACAAGATGGTTACATACAGAAATATTTATAGGTCTGTATATATCATAGATATGTTCATACAAGGGTTAGTACGCACACATATGTTTCTTTACTCTGCCAGATGAGAAGGCCTAAATAAAGGAAACCCTAGTAGCAAGAAGCACATCTAGCACTCAGATCTTGGTTTCTCCATTCTGTAGTAAAAGGAACAAGGCTCTTTGGAAAAATGGCCAATTCCAGCACTGGGACAGGAAGAGCCTGTTTAAGATGAGCCTACTTCATCGTGTGGTGCCAAAAAAGAAAGAAAGTACTTAAAAAAACAAAAAGAAACACGCACTGATGGAGTTATATCAAAGAGGCACAGAAAGCGACTGAAAAAGCTCCCAATGGCCAAAGCTGGAACAATTTGAGAAAAAAAAAAAAAAAAAAAAAAAAAAAAAAAAAAAAAAAAAAAAAAAAAAAAAAAAAAAAAAAAAAAAAAAAAAAAAAAAAAAAAAAAAATAGTGTTAGATTACAACCCAAAGTATAAA